GAGTCCATTACTGCTTCAGGTGCGGTCGGTCAAAATGAACCAGATCTCTGGGACTTATCGAAAAATGTACCGGCTTTATTGATCAATGGTGAACGTATGTTGGACTTTCCACGGCCGCTTCCGATTCATATCAGCTTCTCCGGAGAACTGGGATTGAAAAAGCGTATGTTCCTTAATATTCTGCATGACCGAGCCGGTCTAGGGCCAAACTTCGAGGGTCTCGTCAAGGTCTCGTATAATGGTGTTCAAAGCTTAGCGATTTTCATTCCATGACATGTACTGGAAATACTGCTGGGCTGCTTTTTTTGTTTAGCAAATTCTGTATTTACACAGATTTATTTTAAAAATGACAGATATTTTTTAGCTGCAAAGAAGGTGGATTTCGATGATAATCTTCAGACGATTCTTCAGAAACCGTCCGAGGGCTTGATTGTGTTCTCTCTCGGCACCGTCTCCAACACCACAAATATGCCTCAGCAAATGATTGTTAGCAGTTTCGAACATTTTCGTTTTTTCGTTTTTTCTTTGACACTTGACACTCGTCCTTTTCTGCGTTCTCCTACTCAAAAATTATTCAGAAATCGTTTGTTGGAGCGTTTGCTATGTTGAGCGATTATACCATCCTGTGGCGTATGGAGGGTAAGGTCAGTAATACAAATTCGGAACTACAAGCGAAAATAGATTCAAAGTTGTCTACAGTGCTTGGTAGATTCAAACTAGATTTGAAAGATCGTCTGGTTTCTAGAAGTTATTGTGGAAATTCTAGGTAGACGAAGCGATCCCACTAAAACACGTTCACCTGCTCAAATGGTTACCACAAAAGGATATTATGAGTAAGCACTTCTTTAAAATTGTCGGAACAACACTACTCCCAAGATTCCTCCTAAAAGATCTCCATCGCTTTTTGCTCCTGCAAATATCCAAGCCATCACGTTAGCTAATGGGAATCGACCCTTCCTGCAGGAGGGAGCTAAAGCATGTCATTCAGCTGCTTATCTCGGAACATGGGCTCATTACCGCGCACTAGAAATTCTGACAGGAAGAGGGTGCATGCCGCAATCAGAGAGAAGTGATACATCGGATTTAATGAGCAATTCTCCCGCTCCAGCTCAAAATCCTTCTGAGCAGAAAGGAGAAGAGTCTGTGAAAGGAACGGATTTGGGAAAGTTCGGAGAAAAAGTGGATGTATGGCGCAATCAGAGAAAAGGGGTACATCGAATACAGGCTGGGAAATCAGTGGCTAAGAAGCTAGGAAGGAGATATATGAGGAGCTTGAATAATGAAGTAAGTGCGTATTCAGTGCGATCTTAAAGGGCAAGCAACCGCGCAAAAATAAATTCCCATTTCTGGGAAACGGAAGGAAAATAGTTCTGCACGGGAGAACAGGGCAATCCCAATGGGGAAACAAAGTCCGAAAATATGGCACCATGACTCCAATGAGGCAGTCACACACAATGAACGAAAGCCAATTCTGTAAAAACTTTTATGAATATTCTAATCAGATATCATCAGATCAGAATAGATCGATTACTTTTTTTTACACTATTGATGCTCTGAGATCAATTGGGGTTTTTTTCAGAATTACCCAACATGAAGCTGTTGATAGCTCATGGTGGATACAACTCGTTCCTAGAAACAGCACAGGTATATTCGTATATTTGCTCAGCATTTAGATATTCTCAACACTCAACTTCCTTACCAGACCCTCTAGTCGTGATGTGGGACCCTTCAGGCAGGAGTTCCAGCAGTGTTGATGCCTCTTTTTGCCGATCAAAAGATTAACGCTATGCGAGCACAACGATTCGGTATCGCCAGGGTATTGGACAAGCTGAATCTTACACCAGAAATCGTTTACGAAGCTATAACTGATGTACTTGGAAATGAGACGTACGATCCTTCCTTTTAGCCTTTTCTTCGAATTTCTCTGTTCTCATCCACCCTGCCTTTCAGATATACAACTCGGGCACGAAAACTTTCCATGATGCTGACAGACAAGCCAACAGATCGGCCCTACTCTTCACTGAATTATATCTTGAAACTGGCTACCAGTAATGCCAAATACTTCACACTTCGAGCCGCTCAGCACTTGTCTTTCTATGCATTCTACAGCTTGGATCTCATTGCCATCCTTGGCGCCGTTGTTATTGTGTTATCAATGAATATTTAAGCTAACTTTTGTACCATCTCATAAGTAACCCGTTGCCTCTCAAAATGGGATGGACTCAGAAGGTACCGATTTGTGGGCAAACTCACACAGAAACGGAAATTCGGAAAGGGCACTCTGCTCTTACAGTAACCTCCTAGCTTCCTCACCGCCCACCACTGTGTCCTTGCCAAAGGTCATTTTTGACGAATCGTATATGCGAGGGTTGAGAGTTTGAGTATTAAAATGGAGTTTGCCATGCCAGATTACTGTGAAGGCCAAGTACCGTACTTAATTTTCGTTCTTGTAACCCACCACTAAGGGACTCTAACAGGGTCTGTGCATTCGAGGCGGTACCAAACCGTTGCGACCACTAAGATCTCTTGCTTTGTGATTGGAATTATTCATCGATTTTAAACCCCATACAAATATGTTCTAAGCGACTATAGACTCCTTGCAAGCAATGCTCGACCTGATGCCGTGCTCCCGCTATACCGTACTTTCCAATATTTGATCAATTCTAAATCACATACAGATAAAAGGATTAAGTTCTTGGCGTTCATAAACCCATTACTTTTAGGATGCGCCCTGCATTCGATTTTTGAGACATGCACAAATATGAGATTGAAATATTTATAGACTCTTTGCAATTGAAAACACAACGGCGCACATTCGTACTTACAATGAAACACATTAGCATCTGAGTTAATGCAAGAGTTTAATTAATTTAGCACCTGTACACTACAAAAAAATGCATTCGTCAGCAATTTTCATCCAGCAATGTTTTTTCTTTGAAAGTTCATCGAGCAAGAATATGATTTGACTCAAAAATCTTATGCAAACACCATTAAATGCACAGCAATGAACCTAGCCCTGATGAAAGAAGAAGACACTTGCGATAATGTGCATAGCAAAAATCTGAATCAATCCTCTCCTTATAACAAAAAATATAAAAGCGACAAAGAAATAAGTTATAAAGTGAACCTAGGAAGCGGAATTGTGCCCTCAAGGCATCAACAAAATTCTCACTGTACAAAGTAAAACAAAGTAGGGTGAAAAGTGGTAAGACCATGAAATGAGCAATCAAAGACGAAAATTTTTCTACGAAAAAAAAA